AAAAACAAAAACAAACAAACGAAAAAACTACAAAGAGGTATCACCTCACACCAGTCAGAATCGCCATCATCAAAAAATCTACAAACAGTAAATGCTGGAGAGGGTGTGGAGAAAAGGGAACACTCTTGCACTGTTGGTGGGAATGTAAACTGATGCAGCCACTATGGAGAACAGTATGGGGGTTCCTTAAAAAACTAAAAATAGACTACCATACGACCCAGCAATCCCACTACGGGGCATATACCGTGTGAAAACCATAATTCAAAAAGAGTTATGTACCACAATGTTCATTGCAGCTCTATTTACAATAGCTAGGACGTGGAAGTGTCCATCGACAGATGAATGGATATAGAAGAAGTGGCACATATATACAATGAAATATTACTCAGCCATAAAAAGAAATGAAATTGAGTTATTTGTAGTGAGGTGGATGGACATAGAATCTGTCATACAGAGTGAAGTAAGCCAGAAAGAGGAAAACAAATACCATATGGTAACACATATATATGGAATCGAAAAAAAAAATCGTTTCTGAAAAACCTAGGGGCAGGACAGTAATAAAGATGCAGACATAGAGAATGGCTTTGAGGATACAGGGAGGGGTAAGGGTAAGCTGGGACGAAGTGAGAGAGTGGCACTGACATATATACACTACCAAATGTAAAATAGATAGCTATTGGGAAGCAGCCACATAGCACAGGGAGATCAGCTCGGTGCTTTGTGACCACCTAGAGGGGTGGGATAGGGAGAGTGGGAGGGAGACGCAAGAGGGAGGAGATATGGGGATACATGTATATGTATAGCTGATTCAGTTTGTTATAAAGCAGAAACTAACACACCATTGTAAAGCAATTATACTCCAATAAAGATGTTAAAAAAATTTTTTTAAATAAAAAGATTGGGAACATCTAATATGCTAGAGGAAAAAATGTATACCTCCACAAACATGTCTTTTCTTTAAATACATGATTCAGAAGTCCAGATGGAAATAGGGAACATTTGTATTAGATATGTTTCCCTTTTGGGGTTTTTTTTTTGGCAACTTTAGAAAAACTCAATCCAATTTGTAGACATGTACGTTTGTCATTGCAGTTATTAAAATACATTTAATTTTATCTGTTTGTTCTCAAAATCTTACGTCAACAATTCAAGGGCTCATTCTTTTTCTCTCTAAAACGTGAATAATGATAAAGGTATAAACTCTGCTTGATATTTACTCAGCACCCCTAAAAATAGCCATCACAATAATTCTGTCAGCTTCACATCCATAACTGCTACATGGAAAGTTACATAAGCCTCTTTGCCCACACACATATTCATTCATTCAACAAGCACTTACTGAGCCCCGGTATTGCAAGTCACTGCTCTATTCTGTGGGAATAGAGTGTGGGCAAAAGTCGCTGATTTCGTGAAGCATGATTTCTGTGTTAATTTCTAATTTATTTTTTGGAGCATATCTTAATTTTCAAGATCTTCCCTTTAATACTTAAGAAAAGGAGTATTCAGAAATAAAGTGATTTTTATGTAAATGGTAAGCACTCAGATTTCACTTTTGCTTATATATGTGTGTGGCAGTTGGCAGAGTAATCACTCATTCATAGTACTAAGAGGTTTATATTGTATATATGTTAAACACCTGAATTTGAGGTGAAGCTAAACTACTCAATGTGTTTTATTTCCCTTACCAGATGTCATCCATGTCTTATTGTTTCAAAAGATAATGGCAAAATGGGACATTATATTGTTTTTTTTTAAACCACTAAAATATATTTTAGCAAGATGGGTGTTTTGGAGCAGATTTTGTAGCAGAGGGAGATGGAACTGGATTGACTGTCTATCAATGAAATCAATAGACAGTACAGTAAAGACGGACTTTGGATTAATGCTATGTTCCAGTGTAAGTAATTGCACTGTATTTCCCTTTCAAAAGTGTCACCTCTTGGACAACAATTTAGAGATGTGGCAGTGATTTATAAACAGAGAAAAGGTTATTTCTTATCTACATAACTTTCTCTAATTGAAAGAGTATATCAGGGAGTTTTCTTGGCTGGTCAGAATTTGGTCTGCGAAAATACATACCTTTGTGCTGAGGTCCAGTAAGGTCTCCCTATTAGGACAGATGCCTGAGCCTAACCCACCCAGGGCATAGGCAGAACGGATCATCACCGGGTAGCCAATGGTGTCTGCCGCCTTCAGTGCATCCTCAATCTGTCAACAAGAACAAGGACTCAAAGTTTTAAAAGCTGACAGTAGAAAAGACCAACCAAGAGAGTCTGGTAATTCAGGTAAATCAGTTTATTTGGAAAAAATGACTATGAAAATGTTCTATTATTCCCTCATCTCCTTCTGAAAAACAAGTGTTATTTTACAAATTTTAAGTTAAATTTTAGAATTTTTTAATATACAGTGAAGGCTTTTTTTTTTAACACCTCTGGGGTAAATTTTATTTTGCAGTATAAAAAATAAAACAATGGCCAGAGGTGAGATAGTTGTCATTAATTTGAGAATGGGAGCTATACTGAATTTTTAAGTTCAGTTTAAAAGTCTTGGTCTCTTAACAAAGCAAGGTTTTCTACTACAGAATCTAACTTGATATTACTGCAGTAAGCCATTAGGAATATTATATAGGAAGAGATTTTTCATTTTTCAAGTTCAGTCAGAGAGTAGTCTCAGAAGCTTGGGATTTTTTTTTTTTTAACTTACAGAATACAGCATATGTTGGCTATATTTTTCTGTCATGGAATTTTATTACACTACCAATGGGGATGTAATTATACCTTTCCCATATGCCTATTTCTCATCCTAAGGAAGCAAGGACATAATTAAATCTGGCAATGAAAGAATAAATATATGGCAGGAGCTTTCCACATGTTCAGCAGAGCTATCCTGGGATTGTTCCTGATTGACAGCTTTGCAACATGCTATATACTTGATAGCATGCTTTTCTGAAAACATACATAGCCCATTTTTAGTTGTCCCAGCAGTACTTGCCTTATCCCAGAGGTTTTGCCTATTTCTACACTGAGGAAGTTGCATCAGAAACTGTTTCCAGTACCCCCATTTCACTGACTGAAATCAGGAATAAAGTCAGGGACAAAAAGAGATGTACAGGAAGCTGATCTTTTCCTGGCACCTGGTAATAGCCCATCAATAGGCACAGGATACGATGGAAAATGATTAAGAGAAATGCAAAACAATCTGTCCTCTTTAACCATCTAAGCCACAGGTTTCTCAGTCATAAATATTACTGATTAGATCCAGTGGCTTTTTTTTCTAGATAATTTTATTGTAAAATGTTTATTCCATTCTAAGAAAAAAAAAATTTGTTCGTTTATTTTTTGGCCATGCTGCATGGCATGCAGGATCGTATTTCCCCACCCAGGGATCAAATCTGTGTCCCCTGCAGCGGAAACACAGAGACAACCACTGGACCACCAGGGAAGTCCCTAAAAAAAAATTTAAATTCAACCATTTCCCATTTGCAGGACATTCGCACTTACAAAATGTGTGACTGATCCCAGGAAGAAGGTAAAAATTACTTTGGCATTGCAAGTTGATATGGTTCTTTGTTTTGATTCAGGAGATTTGATACTCAGGTCACATCAACCATTGATAAACCACATCACCTTTGAGATTATGCTTCCCTTTTCATAAAAATAAACTATTAATACCTGTCCCTAATGTTTTAGCATTGAATGCCACAATTAATACACAGTGTCTCTGAAGTAATAACACATTTCTGGAAGATAACATATACAAATATAATACTTTATTATTTTTAGGCATGACAAATCATTCTCTCTACAACGCAAGACACATAATGGTCCTGTTTCTCCAGAACAAAGATTTCTTACCGATTCCACTGCAAAGCTTGGAGCAATCTTTTCATTAATCTCATTTAGTTTGTCTGAGAACAGCTGTCTATCTTCTGTGGCCATAATGGATTCAACTGAGGTTCCCAGGACTTTCACACCATATTCCTTGAGCACACCTCTCTTAAATAGTTCCACTCCTACAGAAAAACAAAATAAATCAATTTTTAACATATCAAACTCTTATGTTTTCTATAATAGATATCTGAATACAACTTTTTTTTAAAAAAAATCTTAACTCCAAAAAGCCACCAGAGTCCACAACAGAATTGCACTTAGAGTAAAAAAATTTTTGAAAGAAAAATTCTGAAGACATTTTAGCAAAACATTTTGCTGGTGCTACTATTATGTATATTATCACCTTCTCCAAATGATTTTTATTATTCTCATTAATAAAAATCATAGAATTACAGTGAGCCTTAAGATTTTAGTATATTTCATTTCCTTCTAAGGAAGGTCTATTCCTATAATGAGCTTCTCTTGTGTAAATAATCTCAGTGATGTGGGTATCTATCTAGGTTAAAAATTAACAAAATCGTTTGTGTTCCCACTAACTTAACATCTACCTTTGGCTGTTTTTTATAGTTGATATACAAATTATATCACCAACTGCTTACCCAAGCTAGCCAGTGAGATTCTCATCCATGATCTAATTCTGAAGGTTTGAAATATTTTAAATAGGACAGAGCATTGGACTCAGCAGATGCATGAAGGGATGGTAGAGAGACTGATCTATGTAAACATGAAAATATATTTGAAAGTCAAATGCCACAGGGCTGATACATAAGAGCACAGAGCACTTAATCAATGTTAAATCCCCTTTTTCACTCATAATAGTTCTCAGAGTTTCACTGGTAACAGAAAAGCAGTATCCTGGGACGGAGGAGGGGGACTCAAAACACCTACCCAGTCACCATGCAGCATTAAAGCAAAAGGTTTCTTTTTGTCCCCCAGCTGTTCTGTGAAATAAACTGGTAATGTTCATCATGTGACATTTTCAGGTGGCTGTTTACTAAGCTTCCTCACACAGCGGAAAACTTTTATGAACACACAGAGCACAACTGCTAAATAAATTCAAACAAAAAAATATTATATATAAGTGTGTGAACCAAAACTCTGCAATTAAACTTAAAAGAGCTCACCACAGTTCAGAGCTGTCTGGCCACCCATGCCTAGAATTAATCCATCTGGCCGTTCTGCCTTGATAACCTCTGTGACAAACTGAGGGGTGATGGGGAGGAAGTAGACAGTATCTGCTTGCTTTAAGCCCACTTCATTGGTTTGCACCGATGCAATGTTTGGGTTCATCAGGACAGTTTTGACGTTTTCTTCCTGAAAGAAACAAAAAGATCTAGAATCTTAATATATGGTCTAAAGAGAAAAATCATATTCAAATGAAGGGTATTAACAGGCAACAAAAAGTTATTCTGTGGGCTCTAGAGATCAGTAATGGGGCCAGTGTGAATGGAAGTTAAAGGATGACAAACATTTGGTAAAAGGAAGGAAGAAAACTGCTTGAAAATAAAACTATCCAAAAAGAGCTGGCTACCTCATGAGGATCACCCTGAATTCCTTGTCACTGCAGGTATCAAGGAAAGCTGGAGATGTTTTCTATAGAATTTGACTGGAGGTCCACAAATACTACTCAATTTTACAGCTCAGTCGACCTTAAAAGAATAAAATGTTCCAAATTTTTTTGAATGAGTAAAACATAAAATGGAAAAAAAGCAGCATCAAAGCTGCTTCCTTTTCTAACGTTTATTGAAGAACAGCATTGAGCATACGTTTTAAATGCAAGATAATGTGTTCCCTTCTAGCTGGGAGCACTGAGAGCCTTCTGCTGGTTTCCATTTTCTTTAGATTTTCATGCCTGCTGTAGTGCTTTGACAAAGACCATTATACAACTGTTTATACATATTATATAAAAAGAAAATGACCGTATGGCAAAAAATAAAAATTTGTGTGTGTGTGAAGATATTCATAGCCCTATCTCATTCCTGACATCTGGAGAGACCCCTAAAATAATTCTTCATGTAGGCTACTAAGGATAATAGCTTTATAGACCAGGATGAGGGCGACATTTAGTAAAATAATTATTATGAAATCCGGCCAGATGGTTCTTGTTTTTTTACCTATTAGCATGTCAATTTTGAAGTCTTCTAAAAACTCAACAAAATATTCATATGAAAGTATAGAAATCATCACTGAAAGCCCTACATATCCTTGGGGGTGTGGTGAATCCAAATGAAAAATTAAATATATTTCATACTACTTTAAATTCAAATAGTGCCTTAAAACTTGTAGTGTACTTTTTTGTTAATTTATTTGATTTTTATGGCAAGACTATAAAAGAAATTTTCACCTTACAGATGAAGAAACTGAGATTCAATAAGGTTAAGTGACCTTCCAAAGATCATACAGCTGATAAATGACAAAATTAGGGCTCTAATCCAAGTCTTATGACTCAAGTTCTACACCCTTTCCTCAATATGAGCCCTCTCTAAGATTGTAAAGAGCTATTTTTATAAAGAGTACTGTTAACAAAATATTGAATAGATACAGATAAGCAAATACATTTAAAATATGGGTTAGAATTTAAATAATTGAGTCCAAATGGAGAGCACATCATAAACAGAAGTTATAGACTGTCTCACTACTAGAGAAAAGTACCAATGGATAGGTATATTTGTTAAATATTTTCCTGCATGTGCTATACAATGAATATAGCTATTTTTATAAATCAAATTACATAGGAAAAGGTCCCGTAAATTCATGTGATGAGTGTCTATTCAAACCATTTTAGTAAATGTTACATAATTTTTTTCTAATATAATTCCAGCTATAATTTATGCATAATCTAAGTTTTTAAAAATACTCAGTTCATAAATTCATCTTTATTAACCTCTTAATCACAATACTATATCTAATACTTCCTATTCTTCAGTTCAAATCAATAACTTCACCTTTTGGATGTAATGCATATAAAAAATACAACCTATGGAAATATTAATTCTTTATAAAACTACCAAATAGGATAAAAAATTGCATGCTACTTAAATGTGTTCTAAACCCTTAATACACTTAGACTGTGTTCTAACCAATCTGAACCATTGGATACCCACTAATTATCTATCTAAAGATAAACTGAATCTTAATACAATGAAATAAAGCACACTTTGAAAAGGTACACAAAAAACATGTGTGCATGGGGTGAACATCCATGCGTGTATGGAGAAGAGTATTAAAAATAAAAAAGAATGGGAAGAAGAGTAAGGTAATTGGGGGGTTGTGTCTGCTTTCAACAGACATCTGTCAGGTGAATATATAGAATACTGAATAAAGCAAAGAAAAAAAGGAAAATTTTGGCCAACTGTTTCTCTTGTTGGTTGTCCTAGTCTCCTGCTTCCTTCCCTATGTTGCTCTCTCCTAGCCAGGTCTCTTGGTAAGAGTGGCTTGACTCCACAAAGCCTGTGGCAAGGTCGCAGAGAGCTCACATTGACTTTGGATGGCTTGATTAGCACCAAAATGGGGACTACCGTGGAAAATAAGGACACCAAAGAGAAGCCAAGTTAGCTCTTCAATAGAAATATCTTACACTTACAGTGTCAGTTTTCTAAAGGTTTATTTTACTATGATAAAGGTTGGGGAGATTTCGAGAGACTCCAGAAACAGGGAGGATATTCTTCCCAACTTAGGTATCAAGCCCTCTATTCCACTTGAAAATCCAGCCATACCTTCCTGTTAAGTCATCCAGTCCAAGTCACAGATGGGGGAATTAGGTGACCTGCAATAACTTCTAAAGCTTGAACAAAAGGCATTGTTTCCTTTGTTCCTCCAGCTGGATCTTCCCCCTTTCAACCAAAGAGATGCCTGAAGCATCCTGTAGAACACTTGAAGTACTTGAGAGCACCAGGGATATCCAAATTCCCTCTTTCACACAAAAGGCAAATATGTCTTAAAAGCTCACTGCCTCATTGAGTAACATCCATAAGTGTAGATTTATGTTTTCAATATAAATAGGTGATAACATAGACAATTCCGGAGATCAATCCAACCTTCTTAATTTGCAGGTGTGCACATTTAAGTTAAAAATCTTGTCTGTGATCAAACTTCCTTTCATATAAGATGTGGAAGGAAATTAATTATAGTGACTTTGAAAAGAGGTAGTGTCATAAATCTAAATTATAAAATACTAATTAGACTCATTAAAGGGAGTGTATATTAATTCCAGCAAAGATCAGAGTCTCTCACCTTCATGGCTTTTACAGCTTGCGATCCCGAGTAATCAAATTCACCTGCCTGACCAATGGACAGACCTCCGGATCCTAGGATAAGGACTTTGGAAACCTGCAAGCAATAAGAAGATAGCATTGCTTTTGTTATTAAGATGGGGAAATTAGTCATTGTTAAGTATGGGAAAGATAAACTATATTGTCTGTGTTTATGTGGTGATGTTTTGAAATATACATAATATATGAGTAAAAAGACCAACAATTTAAACATCTCTAATTTCAAAAAGGAATTTCCAAAGGTCATGGTTTTTTTCACTTAAGTAAAAACTTTTTGGAAGAGGTCTACATTTTAATTAAACATATATAATATATATATATACATATATAAATATCTAAAAATAACTACATAAATATATATGGAAATGTATATCTATATGTGTATATATAATAAATATAATTTATATATATAATTTTTAGATAAAAACTCCTTAAAATTTAATTGACTAAATGTGTTACTATTCCATGGGTTTCTATTGGACAAAGAATAGGCATAAATACAAACAAGCCCTTCCCAACAAACGAAGAGAAAACACAGGAGGCAAGGGGACACAGGGACACCTTCATATTTACATTTTGCCTTTACTTTGCAGTTCAGCCCAGAAATATTTACAGAAAATACAGTAATGAAAAGATCATGTTTTGGCAGCATACTGAAATTCATACAAATTGTACATATGATTTCAAGCAAATAATAATTCTGCTTATTTTTTAACCACAACTGCGAAGCCCTTCAGAGGAGAAAAATGTTCTAGGTCACTGCAAGAGACAAGAACTTGGGAAACTTGTTTTGTATTTATGGAGTGCCTACTATGTGCAATGCAATGTAGAATCCCAAATTACACTTTTCCCTCACTATTTAAAAAAAGAAAAGCATCTGAAAAACATGAGTTGATATTTTGAGAAATACACTGTATGGTGGGGTGGCTTCTTTAGCTACCAAGAATCCACAGTTTGATTCCACATTGAGTGGCTGGATTACCTCCCATCTCTCCATCTCAGGAAAAAAGGCTGTCATAGAAATCTTTAAAACAAACCATCTAACTCAATTTATCATTTCATATAAACATATAAATCAATTCTATTTGTTCATAAAAAGAGGATTATATATATATATGTATATACTTAAAAATATACATACACCCTTCTAAATTTTATGTAATAATGGTGTGGGTGTGGGTGTGCCTTAACTATAAAGGAAATGTGTAGAAACCTTTCCATATTAAATACATATTCAAACAAATAAGGAGTCGAGTCTTACACTATATTAATCCTTATCTATTTGCTCTTTAGAGGTATTGGGTTGTCCAAAAGTTTGTTTGGGTTTTTCGTTGAAACAAAAGTTTCTATCATCTATAATGATTCTGTAGCCTGAACTGTATCTCAAGCATACAAAGGGCTATGGTTTATTGAGTAATGGAAAATATATCAAATTTGAAACTAAATTAAACCTTATTCTCTATTAAATTATTTTCATTACAAATGTTCTAGAAGAAGTGAACTTTAAAAGATATGATTTTTAAATCAAAACATGAAGGTTCCAATGAACATCCAATGAATCATCTAGAACAGAGCAAATAATTAGATGCTAAAATGATGGGTGATTGCAATATTACCAATCATTTTTCATAGACATCAAAAAGGTTTACATCATTCACTTAAAAAAGAAGTCATCACACGATAGAGAAAATCCAAAATACATAAACGAAAAGGAAGCCCACATATACTGACCTCAACTCGAGATGCTACTAGGGCCGGCTTCGGTAGAACTGATGTAATTGTGGTACCTTTCTCCTTCTTTATCAGTGAGAAAAAGGAATCAAACAGGTACTAGAAAAAAAATATAACCAACTAGTTAGAAGCTTCAAAACTCACAAAATTCTCAGATACAATACAGTATACCCAGTTCAAGTTGAACTTTAGATAAGCAACAAATAACTTTTTAGGATGAGTATTGCTATGCAGTATTTGCTTTTTGGTTTTTTTGTTTTTGTTTTGCCAAAGCTGGCAAAACTAAATATTTACTACTATAAGAATTAGATCAAATAAACACTTCTAACTGCTCATGTCAAATCCTATTAAAAGAAAGTTTTCAATATAGGTATACATATGACTGATTCACTTTGTTGTACAGCAGAAACTAACACAACATTGTAAAGCAATTATAATCTAGTAAAGATGTAAAAAAAAAAAGTTTTCAGCAGAGAATGAACATTTCAAATAATGCCTTCTGAGAATGTCATTTTCAGCCCCTTAATTATGAATCATTTTCTTCTTCTAAATAAAATTCTAACTATGCAAAAAAAATGAAGCTATATTACTTATGCACCCTAAAGTTAGAAATAACTGGATTTTTAAATTTTCTATCAGGTCAAAAATATCTCTAAAGATTGTATTATGTATAAAAATATCTCTAAGGTTATTCTTAAACTTTATCAATGATTTACTTCCACTGTTGCACTAGAGGTGACAAATTTCAACAAAGATATTTATTTTGCAACTATTTGGCAGGACAGGAGAAAAAAAGAACTAAGTGATACTGGATATCACATATCTTAATTTCAGTGTTCCTAATCTGAAGTCCTACTATAGGCAAATAATTTAAATTTTAAGTTAAAAAACTATTAACATGCATTAGGCAATAGATATATGAAACTAAATTTTATTTTTGAGTGTCATCATGGGTAGGTAATGTGGTGACTTTGGCTATTAAGAACGATTCTTTCCTAATAATATTAAAACAAGAACAAAATACAAATATCTGAAAAGGCAACTCAGGGATGAGGAAATAGAGTCTACAATGGGAAAATTTTTATTCTCCTCTTTGTTTTACCCAGGTGTCTTTTCTGAGAGCATCTGCTGAGAAGGAAGAATTGTCAGCATTACTGCTGGAGGCCCTAGGGTATAGGAGAGGAAGAGTCACTTCAGACTTCCCAGACTTTTCTGAGTATCACCACAAGCTCTTGTTTGGAAAGATGTTCTTAAACATTGCACCAGAAGCTTACACAAAAAAGTAAAAATATTTAAATTAAAAACAAAACTCCTCTAAGCATTCCTTATGGTTCTCTTCTTAAGCCATCTGACTCGTATGTATGTGCACGTATACCCTCCCCGACACCCCTGACCTCCTTCCTGCTCCTGCTGCTGTTTATTCTCCCTTCATGGCTACGCAAACAGTTGCCATAGGGATTTTTGTGAAGTCACAGATGGGGGATTAAAATTTCATTTCAGTTATGAGAATGAGATAGCAAGAGGGAATTCATTTGCATAGTACCACAATTGTAAATTTCAGAACTAAATATATTAGAAAGATATTTAAATAAAAATCACATTGCATCCGTTTCTTAAGCACTTTCCCACTTTAACTGTTTAAAACGATAGAAATTTCCTCCATGATATTCATGGGGAAATTTTCTTACAATATGGGCATTATCAAAGCACTCTTTTTTTTTTTTTTCTTGCAGTACGCAGGCCTCTCACTGCTGTGGCCTCTCCCATTGCAGAGCACAGGCTCCGGACGCGCATGCTCAGCGGCCATGGCTCACGGGCCCAGCCGCTCCGCGGCATGTGGCATCTTCCCGGACCGGGGCACGAACCCGCGTCCCCTGCATCGGCAGGCGGACTCTCAACCACTGCGCCACCAGGGAAGCCCCAAAGCACTCTTTTTAAGAATGTTCTGTACGAAGACCACCCAGGTGATTATTTTCGTTTCTCAATTTTTCACATAAATATATTTCTGATTTAAAAAAAATTTTAATACATAATAGGCCTCATCTTTCTGACATACCTCAGTGTCTGTTGGCCCTGGGCTGACTTCTGGGTGGAACTGCACACCAAAGAAGGGTTTGCTCTCATGCATAATCCCCTAAAGGAAAATGAAACGGGAAGAAATTCCTTCAGTAGCAAAGAATGTCAACCAGGACTGGGTATGATTCAGTGGACAATAAAGTCCAAACTTTAAAAACTAAGTTAAAAGTTTGAGAACATTCTAAAAACAAACAGTACTAATACAAATAGGCCAATAAAGATTCAACTGGTGTCGTTCCCTTACTAAAAACAACTGATTTGGTCTACAGCCTTTGAGGCCCCTCTAGGCTCTGGTTCAGAATAAACTCAAATCCTCTTCTTTTCTCCAACTCCTAAATTACTTCTCCAAGGGTCTTCTCAAAGGCTACTTCAGTGCTAAGTGAGTCCCAGAGACCCACGTAGACTAGGCTCAAACAGACCTCCACCAATCATCCATTAGCAATGAATGTGTAAGACAGCCATTGATTAATCTCTCAAATTGTGGATCTTAATGAGTCAACCGATAAGAGAATAAGACAGAGAGAAATGACTTTTTAAAAAGCAGAGGGCTGTGGGAAATAATCTGTAACAAGAATTCTTCCACATACACACCCCAGAAAAGCCCACATAAACAAGGGAAAGGTAATTGTAAAACAGAGTATTAAAAGTCCTGCACTTCTCATCACACACTCAACAGGTTTACTGAGAGCACTTACCTCATTTGTTTGATCATTGACATTCACAAAAAGTGGTTTCCAACCAGCAGGAAGAGTGCTGTCCAGGGCATAGCCATGATTCTGAGCAGTAATGAAAGCCTGTCTGTTTGTGATATTCAAAACAGGCTGATTCTGCCCTCTGGAGGGAAAAGGGGAAAAAGAATATGGAAAAGGAAAAGTGAAGAAAAGAATATAAATGCATTAGTTGTAAAATAGTGAACAAGAAAAGCCTATTAAAATTCAAACGTTTCAATTGCTTAGTGAAAATTACTGCATGAGAAAAGTCATAGATGGTTAAGCCCAATAATTTTAGGAAAAAATTCAATTCAGGAAGCTTTGTTGTGTGTTAAATATCAGTTCTATTAAACTTCTGTAATCAGTTTGAGAAAAGGGGAATTGCACTCATAACAAAAAGCTAAGATTTGCTCACTAGCTTAACAGAGACACATATAAGCCACTTATTTTAAGGGAGCTACAGTAATTTTAAAGCCAAAGAAGAGTTCTTGGGGGATAATAAAGAGATAACTACTCAGTCCTGAATCAATCTGAATTATACTTTATGTGGAGGGTGGACTGTGAAGGAAAGTTCCATGTTGAATAAATTAACATCATTTGGGGTAAGGAAGTAAAACCAAGAGGAGCTGAAGATTTCTCGGTTCTTAAGTCACACTAGAGTTTTACAATGTTATCACTCAGTGCTCTGAAATCAAGCTTAAAATCAGAACAATTTCCCTTGGAATGTTATTTGACTGAGTATTATAACTTCAATGTATGCCAAGGAAAGGAAAATAACTTTAAACTACAGCAAAGTTATCGTTAGAGAAGGCTGCGTTTCCAAAATGCAATAAAAGTGGTATCAGGTAGTCAGACAACTGTGAACCATATAATAGTGTGCTTATCGATTTATTCTGAAGAAAATGGCACGTAAGTTCTCTAAGTCTTTTCGGTTTAGTTACTAACAGTATTTCAGAGCCAGTTTGACATGTAAACAGAAGCATAACTACCTTACCTGTTGGCCATAGACATTTTGTAGACTTGGGCACCAGCCGCCAATCCTGTTATTAAATTTCCTGTACTGATTCCAAACAATGGTTCCTTGCGATCGCTCTCCAAGATCTAAGTCAGGGAAAAATTTTATTACTCCAGAAGAAAGATTCCAAAACATGCAATCTCTGAAGGAATAAAATGAAGCATTCTTTTTTTTTCTGAATTTACAAGGTAAAGAGAATAGTAATTGAATAAAAAGTTAGACGATAAATAAGGACGGGATTGACAATTTGCAGCATTAAAGTTCAATAGAATGTACTTAACATCCAGACTAAACTACATCTAATTTAATATTTCTCTGGAACCTTGAAGGTCTTATAGGTCCCAAGTTGTCATTTTCCAGTCGTACAGACAACACATTTGGAGATTGGACACCAGCTCTCTGCACTCAAGGACACAATCTCAGTCACTTTGTCTAAAGTTCTTTGTTCTTCTTCCTGTGGAACTCTCTCCTCGTTGGTTCCCCCTATATACTATCTGTGCTGACATTGCCTCAGAGGTCACAAATAGGAGTACTAAAAAATTACTTGTATAAATAAAATATATTACAGCTTTTTCGGCCATGCAGAGCAGACTCTCTCCACTTCACACACAGACACAGGCTATCCCAGGTTCACTGCACCTTTTTGACATTCTGAATTAGTGGTTGTGCAAGAGCTGGGTTCCCAGGTCCACCAGCAATTAAAAGCCCATCATACTCCATCTTGGTGAAATCATGATTCCAGGGCACTACATGCACTTCCGCTCCTCGCTGGAAAAGAAACACAAGAATGGTCAATTTAATAACATTTTTCTTCGCCAAAGTGGTAAACCTTCTCTTGGCTAATTACTCCCGAAAGGGAAGGGAAACAGAGTCCACGATTCAAATAAATAATGCTGAGCAAAAAACTCTCTGTTGACTCATATTTTGTGTGATGTAAATGGACCCTAGGATAGAAAGTGGAGGAAAAAAACACTATTTACATTTTGATTCTGAAAAAATAGATAATGCATTTCCCCACACTTCAGGAGGTTGTAGACCTAAAGGCTTCATGACTGGGCACACAGGAATACAGTTTATCTTCCCTAGCTCTGGGAGAGGGAGTTGCAAAAGCGAAGATAAATTCCTTTCTCCAAAATTTAATTTGGTCTACCTCTCACCTTTTTCAATTCAGCATTTTTTTTTTTTTTTGCGGTACATGGGCCTCTCACTGTTGTGGCCTCTCCCGTTGTGGAGCACAGGCTCTGGACGCACAGGCTCAGCGGCCATGGCTCACGGGCCTAGCCGCTCCATGGCATGTGGGATCTTCCCGGACTGGGGCATGAACCCGTGTCCCCTGCATCGGCAGGCGGACTCTCGACCACTGCGCCACCAGGGAAGCCCTCAATTCTGTATTTTTTGTCTGACCAAATTTTAGTGACTTCTTTCCTAGGGTTTTTTCATATTGTCTATAATACCTCTATTCTGATAGAAAAATTAGAACTTTTCTATACAAAAGTGGATGGGAAGATGTCTTTGATTATTTCGCTAGAAGCATTTCCTGATATAAGAATTTGAGAGAAAGAAGTTTCTTTGGAGGGGTTTCCAGGAAATACCAATAGAAAGCAGCATGGGGAAAGATCCTAATAAAGTGTGCATTATCGGGCAGTTACCACAATGAAGAAAAGGAGCTTCAGCCCACTGGGGAATTCTGAGAGCCAGTGTAGCACATTTCACCTAACAACAGCTTAGCAATGTGGCAAAGGAGCTGGGGAATTTATACTCTGTCATTGATTGGGGCTGCTCCAGGGATCATTAATTCTATGTCATTTCCTGCCTGCCAGCAGCCTCCAACCAACCAAAGAGAGCTCTGAGGCAATAAGATGCAGACACTTGCAATTAGAAGATGAACAAAATGCCTTAAGATGATAAAATGAGAGGGAGATATGGCTAGGCCAACCACAGCATCTACTATTTAAGGGTCCACGCACATTTTTGTTAATAAAATTGACCAGCATTCAGAATCATGATCTGGATGTTGGTGATATTCTATAACAAAAAAAGTGAATTGAAGAATTCTCCTTTACCCATGCTAATTTGGTGTTATGCAAATATATCTAGGGGTGGGGTGCATGTGTATAAGAGAAACAGAAAGACAAAGAGACAGAGGGAGACAGAGATAGAAAGAGAAGGAGAAATCCCAACAAAACAATGTTTAAGAAAACATTGCAATAATGGTTACATTCTCCTCAACTATTTTTAAGGTCTAATTTCAGTTGGTTCTCTAAGAGTTGATATAAAGCAATGTGTAAGTTTGTACTATATCAGGGCATAATCCCTACAAACATGTGGTACATAATAAATGTAACCCAAAGGGGGAGTTCTCCTACTGACTACCTTTTTGGTTATCTCTAAACCCCAAGAAATTGAGTGTGTCATGTCTCAGAATGTCCGTCAGTAAGTGAAAAGAACAGTCTTCATTTCCTTCTGTGTTTTTGTGGCCTTTGAGGTTTTTGTTTTTGTTTTTAACAGAAATCTACATCTCTAATTTTAACAGGAATAAATGTGTTATCTAATAGATCAAAGGCAACAAGAAGAGAGTATATCCCCTGACATTCTGACAGAATACACAAGCTTTCTCTGAAACAGATAGAGGAAATCAGATTAACACTAATGATCAATATTAGAAACCCCCAACCTTGAGATGGAACAAATTACTTACCTTTACTAGTAAGCGGATTACATTGTTTTTTATCCCACAGTCTACAGCTACCACTTTCGTGGGATTTCCTTTGCCATACACCTTGACATCCTGCCATTTTAAAAACCAGAGAGTAAGAGAGAAAGGTCCAGCTATGAGCAACACACCAATATCATAAACACATCTCAGGATGCTCTGCACTTGGTAACAGATGGACTGCTAACTACTAGGGAGTGGCTGGCAGTTAACGATCAATTTGTAAGAAAGGCACAGCAAATGCCACAAACTCTATCTTCTTCATGAGAACAAAGTACCTTTGCTGTTTTGTATAAAATGCTGAATACAGTAATAACAATTATCCCTAAGAAACTGGTTGCTTCCATAATTAACAAATATCTTTCCCATGTTTTGACTCATTAACAACCAGTAGCAATGGAATTTCCAAGTATTATTGCCTGATTCAGCACTAAACAGATGTAGTAATAGATATATCATGCTTTAAATACCACTTGATCCTCAACTTGCAATAAAGTTTGGATGAGGTAGAGCTGTTGTGCATTAGGCTTATGCAGTGGGGCTAATGGATAAAATCAGTCTGAGTCAGAGGACTTGCTAAGCTAGTGTAGACCTCTGGTCCCTTTAGGTTACTGTGCAATCATTTGCATTTAAATGGTAGACTTCATAAAAGGATCCCAGAGCATATCATAATCATTACCTATGTTTTAAGCACTGCTTGGAGTCAGATCCGTTTTCACAGGCATTTACCCAAGAAGTAGTTCCCCAAAGTCATAAAAGAAGAAATAATAGAGAGAGAGAGAAAGCCTAGAGGGCTGGATGCCCACACTGGTCCCAGCTTCGAGAGTCAGCTAGCACATTCTGAATTTAGAATGATTTCAAAGTTTGTTAAGGGTTTTAGATGAAATTTGCAATCTGGTGTCTACACAAACACACTATATACTCTCTGTACAGAATGACAGAAGTAAGCAAGACCTCACAGAAACTGGGATATATGAATTTGCTAGGAATCTCCAAGAGAGGAATATATTATGCAGCATTTTTCAACCTTATTTGACCACAGAATTTTTTTAAGGTGACTTTCTCCAGGCCAATACTTCTCACATTTGGAAAATCTAGACTAGATCCCCAAGGTAGTTCTAAACTCTAAAATTCTATAAAAATAGCCCTCTATCATGCTGTGTCTCAAACAAAATCACTTCATAGGAAAATATGTTAAAACCTCTTTCTCCTATTTGTCTAAGCCACCCTGCTGTCTCTTTTCCTGCTGTTACTGCTCAGGCTAGGCTTTCACGAGTTTTGTACTAATTAGTTGCAATAACTTTCTAGTTATCTGCTCTTTTATCCAGTTTACTTTGCTCCAAAATGATGCCAAATGCGTTCCCAGTAGTCTCCAAGTTAGCTGATTTATTTAGCCAACGACACTAAACCATCTAGCTCTAGCTCCGTCCATCTCCACTCATCTTTGGCCAAATGCGAGAACCTATATGTGTGAACCCTTAGGTCAGCCACACCAAACTACACATAACTCTTCAAAGACACCGTATCGTCTCATACTTCTGTGCCTTTCAACACATGCCATTTCCTCTGCCTGAAACGAAGTTCTCCTTGTTCTCCATCTACCGAATTGCTCCTTATGCCTCAGAACAAGCCTAATTCCTCTGCAGAACCTCCCCTGATCCACCTATTTCATTGGCTGTTTCCCCACACATGCCTTTATGGTACCTCATGCACATTCCAAGGACAGCATTTATCACAGTATTCGCTCCATGGTGCCTACTTGCTTGCCTACCCCACCAATCTCTATGGTCCCCAAGGACAGAGGCTGTAGCCCAAGAGACTCACAACTACACTAACAGATATTCAATCAAAATCAACACATCTTTCTAAGATGTATTCTATACCTTCCTGTAAATATACAATAAACATATATTACTTTGGGGTGATACAGTCATCATCCTGAATACTACTCTTTGAACTGAGCTATAATACACTAAGTCTTCAGTGTGCTCAGGAATACTTTTCCCTGCACAAAATGACCCCAGATTCTGATTACTGTACTGGGTCTGATTTCTATAAAGTGTTCCCGACTCTCTGGCAGACCATTCGCTCTGACTCCTGATATTCAATTGAACAGCCCTTTTATTTGACATTGTTAAAGTCTTGAGCTAAGGAACCACAAGAGGAGAGAAGAAAAATTAAAACAGTAAACAGCCTCTAAATCAGGCCATGAAGATCACTCTGTAAGTAAAAGTTATAACTTTAAATGTACTGATTTTGTAATATATCAATTTTAACTGCTATGAGACCCTTTTCTCCCTCCCTCTCTGATGCTTCTGGAAGATGACCTCTACCTAAAAGAAGATTTTGATATTACAAAAGAGGAAGGTCTAAAGGGAATAAAATAATACTACAAAACATGAAGGAAAATTTCTCACCTTGGTTGAAACCTCAGCAATCAAATTCTGCTTATTTGGATCCACAAAGTCCACAGACTGACCTTCAAATTCAATCTTCCCAAGCATGGTACCCTATCAAATTAAAAAATTAGACAGTTAACAGGGAGCAATGATGCAGGTGCTGACAGGTTAAATTCACAGGGACTTACACAGCTGCTCCACTATTTAGATGTCTTTAGAACATACTCATAACCATCAGCAAGAGATCTTCATCTTCTCAACTAGGAAAGGTGAAGCAGTGTGCATGGTACATTTTGGGAAACACTGTGAGAAGGTACAAGCTAGCAAGGTTAATTTGTGAAAACTTTACCTTAGCTCTTTTAGGGCTGAGACAGTCACCTGGGGTAAGCAAAGTCAAAGGGCAACAGAATTCAGGTCTCCAGTAGATGCAAATCAGAGTATTTAGAGTACTTATGACCTAAAGCTATTTCGTGGGTGACGTCGACAAAATAATCGATTGAGAAGAAAAAAAGAAATCTAAAAATAGCTGAAAATTGAAAAAGAATGCAAACTTATTAGAGAGTAAAATTCACAAACAAAAAACTGTAAAATGCTGTATAAGTCACAAACTTTGAGAAGTTGCAATGAAAGGGTTCGCTGCTTTAGACATGCTAATAAGGGCTTGAACTTTAGAGTACCCTTAACCCTCTGTAAAGTTTTCACAAATTAACCTTGCTAGCTTGAACATGGCAAATGTTATATTATTCTTAGCTGTCTTGAGATTTACTTATCTGTTAGTAAGTCTACTTTGACCTATTTAGAAAATGGTATATTTTGTAATCAAGACTTTATTGAGGGAGAGAACAAATCAAAATAATTCATTGATTTGCTTTTCTCCAATGAAATTGTTGCACTGAAGGAAATAGAGGAAAGCCTTTTTCCCTTTGAAACGCATTCCTTAGGAGAAGAAGTAACTTGGGAGTGAGTGAGTACCAGCAACATGGTTAGAGGGTCAAATGGTTACTTCAGTGTGATTATTAAAACCAGAGTACTACCTCACACTCTGGGAAAAATAGTAAAAATCACCTTTCACTTCCATACTGGATTATTAAGTTTCATAGTGATCTCCACTTACTTTTATAATCCAAATCACAGAAGTCCTTGACTATATTTAGGGATCCCTAATTTTGAAATTCCGTTTTCAGTTCTCATTCCCTTTTTCTCAAAGCATGCTGAACGACAAACACCCTTACTTTTCAACCTAAGACTAATAGAACTGAAAGCCACACATAGTTTTGTTGTTGTTTCTAACATCTTTATTGGAGTATAATTGCTTTACAATGGTGTGTTAGTTTCTGCTTTATAACAAAGTGAATCAGCTATACATATACATATATCCCCACATCCCCTCCCTCTTGCGTCTCCCTCCCACCCTCCCCATCCCATCCCTCTAGGTGGTCACAAAACACCCAGCTGATATCCCTGAGCTATGCGGCTGCTTCCCACTAGCTATTTTACATTTGGGAGTGTATATATGTCCATGCCACTCTCTCACTTCGTCCCAGCTTACCCTTCCCCCTCACCGTGCCCTCAGGTCCATTCTCTACGTCTGCATCTTTATTCCTGTCCTGCCCCTAGGTTTTTCAGAGCCATTTTTTCTTTTAGATTCCATATATATGTGTTAGCATACGGTATTTGTTTTTCTCTTTCTGACTTACTTCACTATGTATGACAGACTCCAGGTCCAACCACCTCATTACAAAGAACTCAATTTCATTTCTTTTTATGGCTAAGTAATATTCCATTGTATATACATGCCACATCTTTTTTTAATTAAAAAATTTTTTATTTTATTTAATTTTTTATACAGCAGGTTCTTATTAGTTATCCATTTTATACATATTAGTGTACATATGTCAATCCCAATTTCCCAATTCATCACACCACCACCACCCTGCCGCCACATTCCCCCCTTGGTGTCCATACGTTTGCTCTCTACAACTGTGTCTCAATTTCTGCCCTGCAAACCGGTTCATCTGTACCATTTTTCTACGTTCCACACATATGCGTTAACATACAATATTTGTTTTGCTCTTTCTGACTTACTTCCCCCGTATGACAGTCTCTAGATCCATCCACGTCTCTACAAATGACCCAATTTCGTTCCTTTTTATGGCTGAGTAATATTCAATTCTATATATGTACCACATCTTCTTTATCCATTCATCTGTCAGTGGGCATTTAGGTTTCTTCCATGTCCTGGCTACTGTAAATAGTGCTGCAATGAACACTGGGGTGCATGTGTCTTTCTGAATTATAGTTTTCTCTGGGTATACACCCGTTAGTAGGATTGCTGGGTCATATGGTAATTCTATTTTTAGTTTATCAAGGAACCTCCATACTGTTCTCCATAGTGGCCGTATCAATTTACATTCCCACCAACAGTGCAAGAGGGTTCCCTTTTCTCCACACCCTCTCCAGCATTTGTTGTTTGTAGCTTTTCTGATGATGCCCATTCTAACTGTTGTGAGGTGACACCTCACCGTAGTTTTGATTTGCATTTCTCTAATAATTAGTGATGTTGAGCAGCTTTTCATGTGCTTCTTGGCCATCTGTATGTCTTCTTTGGAGAAATGTCTATTTAGGTCTTCTGCCCATTTTTGGATTGGGTTGTTTGTTTTTCTAATATTGAGCTGAATGAGATGTTTATATATTTTGGAGATTAATCCTTTGTCATTGATTCCTTTGCAAATATTTTCTACCATTCTGAGGGTTGTCTTTTTGTCTTGTTTGTAGTTTCCTTTGCTGTGCAAAAGCTTTATGTTTCATTTGTTTATCTTTGTCTTTCTTTCCATTACTCTAGGAGGTGGATCCAAAAAGATCTTGCTGTGATTTATGTCAAAGAGTGTTCTGCCTATGTTTTCCTCTAAGAGTTTTATACTGTCTGGTCTTACATTTAGGTCTCTAATCCATTTTGAGTTTATTTTTGTGTATGGTGTTAGGGAGTGTTCTAATTTCATTCTTTTACATATAGCTGTCCAGTTTGCCCAGCACCATTTATTGAAGCGACTGTCTTTTCTCCATTGTATATCCTTGCCTCCTTTGTCATAGCTTAGTTGACAATAACGACCTTGATCATTACGTAGTGTCCTTCCTTGTCTCTTGTAACATTCTTTATTTTAAAGTCTATTTTATCTGATATGAATATTGCTACTCCAGCTTTCTTTTGATTTCCACTTGCATGGAATATTCTTTTCCATCCCCTCACTTTCAGTCTGTATGTGTCCCTAGATCTGAAGTGTGTCTCTTATAGACAGCATATATATGGGTCTTGTTTTTGTACCCATTCAGTGAACCTGTGTCTTCTGGTTGGATCATTTAATTCATTCACGTTTAAGGTAATTATCGATATTTATGTTCCTATTACCATTTTCTTAGTTGTCATGGGTTTGTTTTTGTAGGTCCCTTACTTGTCTTGTGTGTCCCATTTAGAGAAGCTCCTTTAGCATTTCTTGTAGAGCTGGTTTAGTGGTGCTGAATTTCTTAGCTTTTGCTTGTCTGTAAATCTTTTGATTTCTCCATCGAATCTGAATGAGATTCTTGCTGGGTAGAACAATCTTGGTGGTAGGTTCTTTCCTTTCATCACTTTAAATATATCATGCCACTCCTTTCTGACTTGCAGAGTTTCTGCTGAGAAATCAGCTGTTAACCTTATGGGAGTTCCCTTGTATGTTTGTCGTTTTTCCCTCATTTCAATAATTTTTGTTTGTCTTTAATTTTTGTCAATTTGATTACTATGTGTCTCAGTGAATTTCTCCTTGGGTTTATCCTGCCTGGGACTCTCTGGCTTCCTGGACTTGGGTGGCTATTTCCTTTCCCATGTTAGGGAAGTTTCTGACTATAATCTCTTCAAATATTTTCTCGGGTCCTTTCTCTCTCTCTTCTCCTTCTGGGACCCTTATAATGCGAATGTTTTTGCATTTAATGTTGTCCCAGAGGTCTCTTAAGCTATCTTCATTTCTTTTCATTATTTTTTCTTTTTTCTATTCCACAGCAGTGAATTCCACCAGTCTGTCTTCAAGGTCCCTTATCCGTTCTTCTGCTTTGGTTATTCTGCTATTGATTCCTTCTAGTGTATTTTTCATTTCAGGTATTGTATTGTTCATTTCTGTTTGTTTGTTCTTTAATTCTTCTAGGTCTTTGTTAAACATTTCTTGCATCTTCTTGATCTTTGCTTCCATTCTTTTTCCAAGGTCCTGGATCATCTTCACTATCATTGTTCTGAATTCATTTTCTAGAAGGTTTCCTATCTACACTTCATTTAGTTGCTTTTCTGAGGTTTCATCTTGTTCCTTCACCTGGTACATAGCCCTCTGCTTTTTAATCTTGTCTGTCTTTCTAGGAATGTAGTTTTGGTGCCATAGGCTGCAGGACTGTAGTTCTTCTTCTTTCTGTTGTCTGCCCTCTGGTGGATGAGGTTATCTAAGAGACTTCTGTGCCACATCTTCTTTATCCATTCATCTGTCGATGGATACTTAGGTTGTTTCCATGTCCTGGCTATTGTAAATAGAGCTGCAATGAACATTGTGGTACCTGATTCTTTTTGAATTATGGTTTTCTCAGGGTATATGCCCAGTAGTGGGATTGTTGGGTCGTATGGTAGTTCTATTTGTAGTTTTTTAAGGAACCTCCATACTGTTCTCCATAGTGGCTGTATCAATTTACATTCCCACCAAGAGTGCAAGAGGGTTCCCTTTTCTCCACACCCTCTCCAGTATATATTGTTTGTAGATTTTTTGACGATGGGCATTCTGACTGGTGTGAGGTGATACTTCATTGTAGTTTTGATTTGCATTTCTCTAATGTTTACTGACGTTGAGCATTCTTTCATGTATTTGTTGGCAATCTGTATATATTCTTTAGAGGAATGTCTATTCAGATCTTGTGCCAATTTGGGGATTGGGTTGTTTGTTTTTTTTAATATTGAGCTGCATGAGCTGCTTGTAAATTTTGGAGATTAATCCTTTGTCAGTTGCTTCATTTGCAAATATTTTCTCCCATTCTGAGGGTTGTCTTTTTGTCTTTTTTATGGTTTCCTTGGCTGTACAAGAGCTTTTAAGTTTCATTAGGTC